GAGTTGTAAGGAACCAACTCCCCGAGGTGTCGTAGGCTAAAGGATCCCCGAAAGCATGACCAAAATGATAAAGAGTTCATCGAATGGGACCGAGTCCAAGATCGAGTCCAAGACCGACTCGGAGACCGAGTTCAAGATAGAGTCCGGAATTGAGTTCGAGGTCGACTCAGAGACCGAGTTCGAGACTGAGTTCGAGACGGAGTCCGAGATCCGAAATCGGGTCCGAGACCGAGTCCGAGGTTGAGTCCAAGGTCGGGTCCGAGATCGGGTCCGAGATCGAGTCCGAGATCGAGTCCGAGACCGAATCCGAAGTCGGATCCGAGATCAAGTCCGAGATCGAGCCAGAGACTAAGTCCAAGTACTAATACGGGTCAAGGGGTGAAAGCCCAAAGCGTGCGTCTCCCAGGGGGGGGGGCAGCAGGGGGTTCCAAAAGTATAGTAGGGATAGTGAGGTCTAGGAACCAGTTTTGAAGGAACTCTCCATACCCATACCGGGCCATTAGGCCCCGGTGTTTCGCCCTGACGTCCCGAAGCAAGTGCTGCACCCAAGGCTTGGGATTTAGAGGGTCCCATGATCAAGTCTTGTTGTACCAAGGGGTGTTAGGAACCTGGAGGCTTGGTGTGCTTTGCTGCTTGTGCCTGCGGGGAGTGTAGTTGAACCTTAAGTCCAGTTTAACCCGGGGAGGGGGATTGGGAGAGATTTGGGAATCCGTAGATGGATAGCTAACACTCCGTTGCTTGTGCAGTGAGAAGCTGAAACCAAGTAGGACCAAGTAGGAGCTAGTACAATAAGTGAGAACCTTGGCAAGGGAACTTAACACAAGCCAAGGCAGTGTTAGTCGGATAGACGAGGTAAGTTGGCAAATTGGAAAGGAAAAATTTGTGGCTTACATTAATCAACTACAAAATCCTAATGAACCAATTATAACTTTATATGAATTTACCAATACTCAAATCAACTTTAAAGTCATAATTTTAAACCAAAATAAAGGATTTCAAGGGTTATTATAATTTATAAAACACAATTGCAACAAAAAATATATAAACCCTTGAATTTAGACTTCTTAGGAAGTCATCTAGCCTAGTACTATTTGAATTGTCTTTCTAGTTGGCAAATTCAGACCCTTATAGTAAGCCTAATACTATTCAAATTATCTCTCATGAAAGCTAAATACTATTTAAAACGTCTTTCGCGAATGAAAACTAAGAGCCACAAATCTCTTAGAGCTTAACCAAAAGAAACTAACTATAAGATATCAATTTTAATATGTGGTGTGATTTCTTTAAACCAATTAACAAAAATGGATCTGAAACCTTTTTAATATTAAATATAAATTCTTTAATTTAAATTTTTTGGGGTGCACTGTTATTTATTTGCCTTTTCCTTGTATATATGAATCCCAATAAATCTTCTCTTAAGTTATTTTCTATAGTTGTTTATAATATTTCACTTTTAAATTTGCCTACTAGCCATCTTCCAAGACTATTGTTAATTTAGATGCACAACTTCTTTTTTTTTGTCCAAAATGTCATTTTTATGAAAATAGACTCACTCTATTCATCTTCTATTTCCTTATGTCCTCTATTCAAAAGAAAAAAAACGTTTTGAAACACCAACTTTAGTTAAATTTATTACACTCATTCTCACTTTACCATCTATGTTCAATGTCCCTTCACTTTTGTATTTGTTTAATTTCATTGTGTTGAGGTTAAATATTTCATTTGGACTTATGATGTTTGTCATTTTTCACTTCATAATTTATAGTCCATTTTCACTCTACTATTGTATCCACTTGTCAATATTCTATAATCAAAGTTGGACTCTCATTCTTCCCCTCTACCCCTCTTTCGAAGGAAAACATATTTGAAGCATCAAGGTAAAAAAGAGGAAAAGAAAAAAATTAAGGAAGAAATAGTGTGGAAGAAAAAAATATGGAGAGAGAAACATCAAATAAAGAATTTTTAACAATTGTCAAAGCAAAAATGAGGAAATGAAAAGAAAAAAATATATTTAAAGTTCAAATACTAAGATATTTCAGCTAGCATAACGTAAACAAGAAATTCACACTACTTAACTGCCTCAACACTTGAAATGGGAAAATAAAAAAAAAAAAATCATACTTTGAAAGGAATAAAAATATTCTTTAGCAACAATAATAAAACAAATACTCTCAATCTATTAAGGATTGTTGAAAAAATAGCGGAGTAGTACCAATAGGATCACAACCAAAAACTCAATTTGAAAAGGATATAGTAACATAAAGGACAATATATCATTTATACCTTAAACAACACACTTATTAATCAATGATAGTATGGTATAACAAAAGAGAATGCAATGAAATTAAAATTAAAATAAATTGGATAGCTATAATCCTACATTTTGCAAAAAAACTAACACCAGGAATAAGAACAAAATCACAAAGCAAAGATAATTAAAAATAATTAGTAAAGGTCTTCTCTTTAAACCTCATAAACCAGATTCCCTTCCCCACTTGCAAGGCGACTCACCGCATTGACCACAATCGGGCTGCGAACAGTGTGTGTGTTGTCATACCACACATACTCACCATACACGTACTGTCTAGGCAGGAAATCATAGTTCACAACGAAGTTGAGCGTGAACGTCTTTTGCTCCCCCTTCTTGCTGAACGTCAAGCTTGTTGCATTGGCAGTAACACTGATCCCACTCGGTGGAGTTATACCAATCCTATACGTGCTTGGCGAATCACTGACACTGGTGAGAGTTCTCGTCACTGTTGCTTCTCTTGCCAGATTGGTGACCGTCACTGAGGGGTAGTTTAAGTTGTTGCCTCGGCCTCTGATGGAAGGACATGTCTCGGGTTTCCCAGTTATAAGTTCGACCTGTTTTGCAGACAAGCCAATGTTGCACAAGAAAGAAACGTAGTCCTGCTCCCCTGCGTCATAAACAAGCCCTGGATCTGCTGCTGCAACCGGGTTGATGTGTCCGGATCCATAGTTGAAGGGAGTAGCGATGTCATAGTCCCCGTCCAGAATTGGCTTCCCGGTGTGGTCTTGCGTGTAAGCTGTGGTGAAGGATGGGAATTGTATGAGAAATCTTGGCAGCTTTTAAGTCATACCTGTGGTCATGATCGCAGACTTGATCGCTGCCGCACTCCAACCCGGGTACATGGATTTGAGCAGTGTGCTTAATCCGGCAACGTGAGGACTGGCGATCGAAGTTCCACTGGCGAACTTATACTTGAGAGGTGGCTTATCAGCTGCTTCTGACCATGCGGCAAGGATGTCCACACCTGGAGCTGTTACGTCTGGCTGTTTTTCCACTCGCACAAACGCCGATACAATTAGTCAGTGTGAAACATATACAAATCGCATAACACAGACCTTGAGAATGTCTGGGACTTCAGGGTTGGGACCTTTACAAGAGAAGATTCCCATCATGGGCGATGGCTTCTGGTTAAGCACTGTTGTTGGCGTTTTAATCGTCGCAGTTGGATTCCTAAAAGAGAGAGAGACCTCGTGATCAATCAGCTATCGAGCAAAGCTCGCTTACCTGCTTGACTTGATGTAGGAAGAAATCGAATTTGCAGCTTTGTTTCCAACTTGAGTAGCAGGCATCGTGAATCTGAGTGACAGCAATCTCTCCTTGCCAACTGCGTTGTTTCCCACAATGAAGCCAATGGCACCAATAGCTTTCATTCCATCAGTGACATATTTGATAGGATCGCTGGATGGCTCTGGAGCGCCGCAAAAGATTATCTTTCCCCGTGCTTTGGCAGGATCCAGAGCTCCAGGGGAGCAGCCGGCAGCACTAGAAAAACATAGAAAATCCTGGTGTCAAAATAAAACAAAGAATACACACAAGCTTGCCTTGCGGGTGAAGTTGTAGGCTTCGCAGGTATGTCCCCTCCATACACCAGAGGATAGAAAGTATTGCCGAGATCGAAATTGGCGAGGCTGGATCCCTGGACATGAAAGTTAGATGGAACGAGAAAATCAGCTATGAGAGAAGAGAACTTACCTGGTATACTGAACCATCTCCCAGGACGACGTTGCACGGGAGGCGTCGATCGGTCGTGCTCGCAGCGACGGTCATCACCCACGGCGCAGTGTTCTGGACAACACACCCGGCGTCACCATTCATAGCAGCCGCGACCACCACGATCCCCCTCTGCGTGGCATGGAAGCCACCGATGGAGGCAACGTCAGACCAGTAGGAACCTTTTCTGTTTCCCACCGAGAAGTTGATCACGTCCACACCATCGCCAATTGCATCGTCCCATCCCTTGAGAACATTGGCGGCCGAGCATGTTCTTTCGTCCCAGCAGATCTTGTACACGGCAATTCGAGCCTGGGGCGCGACGCCCTTTGCGATGCCTCGCGCAAGCCCTAGTTCGTTGACGCCGGCGACAGGAGCTCCTGCGGCTATGGAGGAGACGTGAGATCCATGCCCAGTTGTATCGCGAGGAGTCGGGGCGGCGATTCCAGATTTTCCGTAATAGCGCGCGCCAATCACTTTCCTGCAAGCGCCTCCATCGAGATCCAGCAATACAAGAGAAGATCGATCGAATTGATGGAACGCAAGAAGAGATCTAAATCCACGCTACCTGTTGCATTGGAAGGAGGCGCTTGAGGCACAGCTGCCTCGCCACTTCGCAGGAAGGGAAGCCGGCAGCCCGGCGTCGCTGAAGCTCGCCGACTCTGGCCAGACCCCTATAGGAGAAAGCGCGAAAGATTTAAAGCTATGAAAGATTCGAATCTGGCATATACCCGAGTCCAGTACTCCAATTATCATGTTTTCACCCTTCGTCTTCTTCCACAGCGAGTTTGCTGCGGCGTTTCCGAATGCGTCCTCAGGCCTATGAAGTTCATTGAACGGGTTGTTTGGAGGGACATTGTGTAGTCCTCAAACACAGAAACCACACCTGGCATCTCTGTAAAGAAAACGAATGTGTGAAATCTTGGAATTTATATAGATCTTGCGAAACAGCAGAAAAGAATGGAGATAGTGGTGGAATTTACGTTGTAGCATAAACGCTTGGCTTGGGAGCATCTCTGCGGCAAAGCCATTGATCGCTTGGGTGTAGCTGTGGACAATAGTTTCCATGGCTGATTCCACACTTCTGCCAGGCACAAGAATAAGAAAAGTCTGAAAAAGCAAAAAGGAACAAAAAAACATATGAATGTCATATGTTGGGCATTTGGATGAGTTGCGCCTGATATTCACCTGTTGGACACAGATGCGAGCATTTGTGCATGGCGGCTAGACAGCAAATGGCTATGATGCTGGTCAGCAGCGCCCATGTACACAATGTACACCTTTGGAACTTCCTGATCATCAGAACATTGAGTTGCATTGCATGAAAAGAAGAGTGCCAAGAGCAAGGAGGAGATAAGGAGGCTGTAGCTACTGCATGAATGGGATGATTCCATTGTGCTGTGGCAATGGTGGAGGAGTTTGGAACGCAAGGTTTTATAGCATGGAAAAGAGGGTCGGACATGGTGGACCACAGTGACAATGCCCACCTCAACTGAATTGAAATTCTGGGCTTGCACAGTTATTGTTTACGGAGAGATTTCACCAGCTAGATTTGTCTTTTTGGAAAAGGTGGTCATACGTCGTGTTCTTATTGATCTGTTTATAGCTACAGCAGAGCTGAGGACTGCCACCGAGCTTCCACGAGATGATCAAGCAGAATCTCTGGCCAGACGCCATCACTTTCTCAAATATTTTCACCTTTAACAAGAGTTTAGACACCTGCTTACGATTTGACTGGAAAGCTTGGTTTGATACTAATCTATGTAAGTGAAAAAGCTTCAACCTTAATGGGCTGTGGCTCACCCATTAACTTGATCTAACCGTTGGCAGCCGTCGGATTGAGTCAGGTTCTCTAGGAGAACATGGCTAATAACTGCCAGGTTCTTTAGAACCCAATTGCCAGCTGCCAGGTTCTAGAGAACCAAGCTACCAACTGTCAATTCTGGAAAACTCTCATCCTCAAATAACATTCTTCCACGTGTCCATTAATGGTTTTGCCACAGCCCGTTAAGGTTGTTCCTAGGCACAAGCTCGCTCATTCTCTCCAAAATGCGCTCACCGGGCTAACACCCGACTCGCCCGTTCTGGGCGGGAACGTGCTCGCCCTACCCGGGAACTGCCTCATACGCACTTGTTTAATGCAAATTCGTGCCATATAGTAAGTGCTGTGTAATATAAGATTTTTGGCAGATGCAAAACCATTGCGCTCCTCGGCTCGCTCCCACTGCCGCACTTGGCGTATTCGCGATCGGGAGCAAGGAGCTGTGTGATATTATCGTGGAATCGAAGCCTTGTCTTGCTCGATCTTGTCAGGCGTGGTCGATGTCTTTACGACCTTTCAAGTGAGAAGTGATATAGTCTTCATTATCATCAAGTTTTCTTAAAGCCAAGATCATGATAGAGATTTTTTAGATAGTTTGTACGCTGCTAGAACACAAACCGGATGCCTTCGTAGCAATAGCTTCTATAGCAGTGCGCTCCAGCGTCTCTAAATCCCGAGGATGGGCCAAACACTTGACCAGAGCCGGATGAACTACGTGAGCTTCTCTCGGTACCGGGGGCTTGAACTTCTGGAGCTTCCCATACTCTTGGATCAAGTGAAGCATATAGCCATATACTTGATCCAGATTGAGAGCTTCCACTAGAAACCTCTGTCCCCGAGTAGCGATTGCCTGTGCCTCTCCAGGATGCGACTCCCCCCACTGCCTCGCGTTGGAGATCGATTGACAGAGGTTCCCTTCCCGACTTATAGGAACGTAGTGAACTCCAGCTTTCAGATCCCGAGTGAAGAACTCGTAGTAGTCCGAATCGATTGCTAGAACAGTGGAGCCACAGCCCATGATGTACTTGTAGCTCGCAGACCACGCGTACCCTTCGGCATAGAGTTTGTATCTGGAGTGGCAATGGCTTTCCAGCTTCCAGTTTTGCAAGTCGCTTTGATCTCGCCAGTTCTGTCCATGGACGAGCAGCGTCTTATCACCAGTGCTGTTGCAAGCTATGAGTCTCTGCCGGATTTGCGAAGTTCTCGGATCTCCCCTCCACTGCACACTGGAGTCTCGATCTTTCCATTCCGCTTGCCGCGTGATTCTCTTGAGTTGGCTCCTCCAAGGCAGGATCTTGTTCTCCGGCCTGCAAGGTCAAAAGCGTTAGCAGTGTTTCAAGCTTAGATCGTCAAGCTTACCATCCCCAAAACGACCAGTCTGGAAATGGGATATCGAAGTGGTTCTTCGTGCTGCAGTAGCCAAACAAAGGTGGCGGAGCTTCATCGAAGGCAGACTTGGTGATCTGAGGCCGGTCTTGGCAATTGAAGAAGATATCCACGTCTGGAATCTGGCCGGGAAATCTCTGTAGCAGCTGCATGATCCCCACGATCGTAAACATCATCCTCGTCTGGAAGCACCTGTAGTAAAGCTCTACGTACAATCGCCCATCCCGGACGATCGCCCTGAAAGCCGAGTGCTTCCGTGCAGTCTCCAAGTCATGCTCTTGGATCCCTTTCTCTTTCCACGGTGCGAGATCCTCGAAAACCCTGCTGTAGTAAGCAGGACACCTCTTGGACTGCAGAGGGAGCGATGAATTCCCGGCTTGGAAGGGAATTGGATCGATTATCAGATTGTTCTCGAGTCGCTGGCACCTGCTCAAGGTCGGGAGTCTGCCCAGCCTGTGGAAAAAGCCGGGATCCTTGCACCTTTGCCATGGAGGAGGGTGAAGATTGTCACCCGTGAAGCTCTTCACTTGGAACCCGTTGTATATCGAGAGGATGATCAAGCCGGGCACCAACCATATCAACCGTGTTATCAATCTCTTGCGCTCTCGAAGAAAACGCTTTAGTCCCATATCTGGAAGAGAAACAATTTTTAACCGAAAGGATCGAGCCTAATCGGGACATTCACCTTTTGTTCTCCCTTACTTTTGCCTTTATTTTTGGAAGAATTTCACCCGGTTTAGCTGCTTGTAGCTACGTAGCCGCGGCTTTTCTCTTCAAAGATCTCACGAGTGACGACAGCTCCAGCTTCTCTTTTCTCTCCCGAGGTTTTGGCTCGTCTCCAGGAGCCTGTCCTTGGAATCGCTTTTGCTGCATCTCGGCAATAGCGCGAAGCTTTGTGGCAGACCTGTTGGAACGAGGAAACATTAGCACAAAGAAAGAGAAAACAAGCGCACTTGCCTCTTGAACTGAGGATCTGTAGGATCGATGGCAAAGTGGTGCGAGTTGAATAGTGCTGAAAACCTGGGATCGTTGAAGTCTGTCTTGGCTAGCAGCTCTTCATTCTTTGCATCCGATTCCTTGGCTTTGGCTTTGGACCTCTTCTTCCCTTTCTTTAGATTGTAGCCTTTCACGCCACCTTTCCCACCGTTTTCGTCCAGAAGCAGAAGTTCTAGCTCTGCCTTGCGCCGTTCGTCCTCCTTCTTTTTCAGCTCCCTTTCTTCTCTATTTTTCTTCCTTTCGTCTTTGTCCACTTTCCTCGGTACTATTTTCTCGTCCTCGGATTCGGAGGCATCATCAGCCTCGCGCTCTGGATCCGATTCGAAAAATGGATCATTAAATCCATCTTCATCAGCAGCAATCGCGGTTTTCTCCTCTGTTTCGTCGTGTTTCTCTTTCTTCTTCCTGTCCACCCCTTTCTCCTTTTTCCTTCTCAGTTGTGCCTCCCAGACGGTCTCTTCCTTCTCGTCTCTGTTCTTCTTGTTGCGTTCAAGGTACTTCTTGTTCAGTTCCTCAAGGCCACTTGGGAAAGTTATTTCCATGTCCACGTCCTTTTTTTTCTTGGAATCCGGTGCCTCATCTGGGTTATCGAGAAGCAAAGATCTGAACTTTTCCCTTCTACTCTCGTCGTCTTCGTCTTCATCTTCAGAAGCTAGATAGGCCTTGAAATCCATCTCTTTGAGCTGCAGGAACCAACTCTTGTTAAATCGAAATGCTTGGTACAATTAGACAAACCTCATCGGGATCAAATTTCTTTCGCAAGCTTTTTGCGCGGACCGGTTCATCATCGTCCCAGGTGAGCTTTACGTTGCTTAGCTGCAGAGCTGCCGTTTGGAAATCTGGAGCTTCGTACCCTTCTTCAATCTGGCACAGAAGACGTCACAATGTTTTTGTAAGAAAACAATACTATGGTACCTGAGACGCAACATCTCGTGGTTCAACTGTGAACTCCCTGTCATCCGGAACGAACTGCAAATCCAGAATATTTGATGTTCGCTCAAACTCGATCCCGTCACAAGCGGTGTACAAAGCTGATGCCGTGCTAACAGAGTCGCAAGTCACCACCGCGAAGTAATATCTGCATCCACACCAACCAATCAGCCAACCGACAAAGAAAAAAAAATTCGCAAACCTGAGCTTTGATTTCTCGTATGCTCTCAGCTTCTCCATGTCGAGCTCATCTTCCTGGTCGTCATCCTGTTTTGAGTTGAAAAGTGCTGGACCATGAACCTCCTCCTTTTTCATTTGCTCCAGACCAAACTGAGATGGATAGACAGCAACCGACGCTATACTACCACCTTTTGGAAGGAAGGAATTGAATACCATCAACAAATCTAAAGCCTGTACAAGAACAACACAATCAGGGAGTGAGATTCAAAGAAAAGATATACCTTGATACAGCTCCAGTCCATGTTTACCACTGCCAATCTTCTCGTCTCTTTGTCAGTAGTGGCAACTTTCTCCTCCTTGAATGGAAAAGGAAAGAAGTAAAACGAAGTAATCAACACGAATGCTCAGTAGTAGGATGATCGAACATACCTCTTCTTCTTCCTCTTCTTCTTCTCCAGAATCATCAGCATCCGAGCTCGATGATTCCGACGACGATGACTCGCTAGCTCCATCATCATCAGAATCGGATGCTTCCTTCAAGGCTGCATTCTTCTCAACTCCTCCATCTTCTTCCACATCGACGCTTCCCTCTTTATCCTTGAGACCCTCCTCGGGAGCCGGCGTAGCAGCAGCAGCATCGTCGATTCTATAATATCGCTCAAGCGTGTGCTTCTTCTTCTCCTTCTTTTTCACAGGCCTACCTCGCTTGTCTAGGCTGAAAGGATCGACAAATGCCTTGTCCGTGAACATCCGCTGGAAGCGAGGATCCAGCGGCAGCCGGAGTCGCGATTTCGGCAGCTTCTGGAAGCGCGGATCCGAATGCAAGCCTGCGAATCGAGGATCATCGATGACCGGCGCCTCATCCTTGCGCCTCCGCTTGGCATCGCCCCCGCGATCCTTGCTCTTCATTCTCTCCGCTGCCAAAAACCCTAATTCTCAAAGCCCAAATCCTAGAAGTCGCGGGTTCGATTCCTGGTCCAAGAGGCTAAGAACCCTAAAAACAGGGATCTTATCAAAATTCCATGGCGATGGCTACTCTCGCGGCATCGATCGCCAATGCTGGTACCCTTGGC